AATTACAGACATATGAAAAAGGGGGAAAAAGAAAAACAAAAATTAAAAAAATAACAAATAACTGGGGGATAAAAAAATTAAAAAAATAGTTAAAATAAAATCCAAAAAAAAGAATAAAATTTTTTAAAAAATCCGGAAAATAAAATATATAATCTTTTCATCAGCCCACACGATTATATTCGCAAAAAATCGTGTGGGCTGATGAAAAGATTTTTTTTTCTTCCCCCAGTTGTTTGTTATTTTATTATTATTATTTTTCTTTTTCCCCCTTTTTTCATATGTCTGTAATTTACATTTTTTTTATCTTCATTTTGAATTTATCTTGTGAGTTTCATTTACTTGCAGCTTATGCGCAATAAATGACACTTATTGTTTTTCTTAATGTTTTTCGTGTTTTTCGTATTTATTTATTTTGCTATATATATATATATATATANCCCTATTCCAAATATATATATATATATATTAATAAAATCTAAATCTGTAGTGTAATCCAAAAGAATGCATTGTTAAAATTCCAGTTGTTACAGGGAATCAAAAAAGGAACAAAAGCTAATTTCATGCATCAAGATTTAATTTTTTAAAATTAACATCTTGATTTGATCGAGTGGATGGGGGCAATATAGAGAGAAAATCTTGATTGTATTTTATAATAGTAAAAATAAATTCCAAATTGCCTCCTCATGAAATGCTTCATTTGTAAAAACAGCAAAGCTGGATAATATCAGAGATCTTAATTTCCGTCCATTACTCTTGATGTATCAATTAAAAGAGCCATTGTTTCAGGTACATCATGTGTTATAGTCTCGAACATCACCTTAATGACAGAATCAAATCGAACAGATTATGCTCTTCAGGGAGAAGCTGCATCACTGCATTGCAATTACCAGACAGCGCCAGATGAAACTGTATCGTCTGTCCGTTGGGAATACAAGAAGAGGGGATCTGAGGAAAGTGTAGAAGTATACGTGTGGAGACCCAATCGTAGACCTGTAGGAAAGGAGATTTTTTTTGGAAGAACTGACATCTCAAACACCGACCCTAGTGTCATTGTCATTAGACAAGCTCATATGGACATGGAAGGAAAATATCGATGCATCGTTCAAACTAATGAAATGTCTGCTTATACTGATTTCCAATTGATTGTAATTGTAGGTAAGCAATTAAAATAACTACCTTTTTTATTATCTCATAGCAGGGTTCATTTAAAAAATAATTGTACTCTTCTTCTAATCTAAAATCTTATTTTGCTTTAATATCACTTGGTATAAATAAGAAATATTAGTCGCGCTTTATAATGCTACGGAACGAAAAATAAAACGATTTTACATCAGGAATAGTTTTTGATCTAATTATCATATTCATTTCTAATTAGTTATTATTGGTAAGCAATTAAATTAACTGCTTTAATTACTATATCATAAAGGGGCAATTTAAAAAAAGCAAACTGATTTTAAGTCAATCAATTTGTCTTCGAATTTAAAATCCTATTTTGCCTTATTGTAACTGGACATAAATAAAAAAAACATTTGTTGCGTTTTATAAGAAAAAGTAACTGGGCGCAAAATCAAACGTTATACCGGGAATAATGATATGATAGCAATTGTCAATAAAACTAATAAAAATAATAAAACTACTACTTGTATTTATAATAAAACTACTGTTCTTTTAGCATTTATTTTATGGTAGTTCTTATCACGTTACATATTTTTCTTGGATCATTTTGAGTTTAAATTTTTATATTCCTTCCAAATAAAACTGTAATATAGAGATATTCTTAATAAAAATTCTGCAATCATATCTTCAGAATAGTTTGGGATATTGATGTTCGAGCTTCTATCGAATATTAGGGGTCATATATATTTTAGTGGAGTGTGTTTGTCATACTCTGTCAGAAAACTGTGTTCAGAGAAATCAATCTGAATAGTATTTATTATGACAGATGTTTCAGATGCATCTTAAGATTACGAAGTTTGAGGTGGCTGAAGTGATATGAGGTTTAAGACGAGTCACTTCAATGTTTAACGCAACATCCCTTAAACATTTTGCCGTTTTTAACGGTAAAGTAGTTAAAATTACATTTTTTAAGTTTCTTTATTAAATAAATTTTACATTCTAAGTTTTAACTTTTTTCTTGCATTCCAGAGAGCTCCATTCCCTGCTTCATTCCAGTTCATTTTCGATAACTTTGTTCTTTTTTTTTGTAACTTTTTGTCTAGTTTAATACTTTGTTTTTTTATTCATTATTCCATTATTTTAATTACATTGCTCCTTGAAAATTAAAGTACAACCTCACTGCGCCTAATTTGATAATAAATTAACATAGAAACTAAAAATTAGCATTGAAAGTGCACCAAATAGTCATTTCTAGATTGCCACGCAAGAGTTATAATAAATTTAAAAAATTACAAACAAAAAAAAATCGGAAAATTCTTTTCAAAGAGAAGAATCATAGTTTTTTATGAAAAAGAGTTCATGAAACATTACGAGAATGGGTTCTAGTTCTCCAACAGAAATACATTGGTAGCATTGACATTTCAAGCTCCTAATTAAGAAGTCGCTTAGCGAAATGCAAAGCTGAGATAATGCAAGTATAGTTCGTTCACCAGGAGTTGACACTTGGCTCCACCTCCTCAGACGAAGAGTTCATTTCAGAGCGGGAGTAAGTGGAGAGACGTCTCCGGCCTTGAAATTGAGAGAACCCTTAATGCGCGCCAAACGAAAACAAAGAATTATTTTTCTATCTCTTCTCTTTGTCATCTGCTGTTATACCTTTCGTTATTCTAGCTAATTATGTATATAGCAGCAAAATGTTTCAAAAAGGAGAAATTATTCAATCAAAAGAGAGAAATATCTAATGTTAAAAAATGCACATAAAGATTGCTAAATAAATATTTTTGTCACCAAATAGCAACCTTGTTCAAGATTCTTCACATCCTTCTCCTAAAAATAGCGAAATATTATCGTCGGATACCACGTGATGGAGCCAAGTGCCAACTCTTGGTGAACAAACTATAGTTAAGACTCTTGAAAAGGTTTTAAAGCAGAAACTTTCCTGTCCAGATAGTCCCAAGCACTCTGAATCACAACTGAACTCTTAAAAAAGCAACGACTGGGTTGCAAGAACATATCTCTATACGCAAACTAGTGACAGTGCTCCTCTGTGTCCGTATCAGGATATCAAACAGGGATAAACTCTCTATTGTTCGAAAAAAGGACTATTATGGAAGTTTGATTGACATAAGATGACATCATATTGGCCTCTTGAAGATTTCACGCCTACCCTTAGAGCTGCCATTGCAATTCTCTTAGCTCGCTTGTTTCACTTGAACAAATATTGCAATAACCTGCATATATTTAAAAATTCAGATTTAAATTAAAAAAGCGTTACTTAGTTTTTTTTCCCAATAATTTATTCTTTTAACTTTCGCTAAATAAGTTTAAGTTGTTCAATGCAACCAAAAAGATATTTCTGCTACGATCTATGAACCAGGTGTTATATTGCTGTATTAGAACTCCTGCCTCTTCAAATAATTATTCATTTGGAGATTCATCCTTGTCAATTCCCCTCTAGTGCCAACTAACACTAAAACGAGATAAACAATTAATATTTCGTGCAGTCTGGATTGCCGTAATTTTACGTAATATCATCAATACAAAAAACTTCAATATACTTAAAATAAGAAAAAAATCTTTTTTTTATTCGAATCTTTGGAGTGTTCTAAAACTGTGGGGAACACAATGTGTGCTTCGACTTTTTTCAAGTTATAGAAGACAAAATTAAACTTTATTTACTACTTGGATATTAATAGCTAATATTAATCTTTAATCACTTACCGAAACTTAATATGACAATATCAACCTAAGAAATACTTTTTTACTAGGCATTATTCAATAATTGTTTCCCCATCAGTAAACTAAACAAATCTTTATGTTATTAGACTATCAAGTGCTTTTTTACTTAAGCTTTTCATAATTGGGCCTCTCTTAACACTTATTTTATTCTTATCTCATCAAACTTAAAAATTAAAAAACACTTTTTAAACCAGCTGAGTTTTATAATATATTTGTAAAACATCTAAACTTTTAACTAAATACACACTATTTATTTTCACTTTTTTCTTCCCAACAAATTATTCTTGAAATCAAATGCAACGTAGATCTGAAAAAGTTCATTTGAAATATTCTTTTTAAAAAAGGATAACTGCATTTGAAAGGACTTACTTTGGAGTATTCATCATTTCTTCCGTTTCATTGTCAAGCATTTCAGATGCACACTATATATGATAAATTGCTCATTTTTTTTAAGAAAAAGGTCTCTAGATAGAACTTTTTGAGCTAAAAATCAACATGATGTAGAAGCTTATCACTATGGTATATTTTCGTTTATTTATTCCATGACAAAATAGCTAAATGTGTTTTGGCTAAAAAGTAGGTTATTCGAAATGTCTAAAATATGGCCTAAAATTCTATTTTAAAACTAGTGTATTTTTGTATTAGTTCATTAATATTTTCAATATCTATGGCATTTTAACCATTTTGTGCTGATCTTACTTTTAAAAAGGCGGTTCCATTTTCTAAAATAGAAAAATGTGGTTGCGTAAGTGTTTTGTTATTAAGATTTATTTCGTAAAAACAAAATAAATCTGAATCTAAATTATTAATCCAAATAATCATGATTGTCAATCAACAGATTTTTAGAACTAATTGATAGCACAACAGTACATATATTTTGAACAAATTTCGTACCGCCACTTAATTTTTTTTTAATCATATATCTGTTTTCCATACATAGACCATTCACAGTGAACTGATTGTTAAGACACGGTTCCCAGTAGAACACAAAAGTGTAACATTTCTGGCTGCCGTCAGTAAGCGAGAGGGTGACTACTTTGTAGAACTTGCGTAGGAACAGCGGTATCCTCTTTAAACTGTTCTACAATAAAGTGCTCTACTTCGCGCTCAGATCGTCGGGCTGCCAAATAGGGGAGAGCCATCCACACTGTAGAGGATCAAAATTATGATGGCATGTCTTCGAAACATCCTTCTCAGAGACTTTTCCCAGGACATCGCCAATAGCCCATGGCACAACTCTAGTGCGACGTAAACAAAGCTCCTACGATACATAAACCACTTTTTATGACTGGACATTAATGGATTAATCTATGCTGTGCTATATATGCACTCGGAGTTTTTTTAAAAGCTGTTTGATCTAATATCAGCACTATAGCATTTACAATACACAATATAGTATTATTATACAATTTTTAAAATAATGTGGTTACTCATTATTAAGGTATAAAATTTCTTAATTTTAAAGTGGTGACTGTTGATGGTGCCTCCGTGGAGAAATCTGAGTGCAAAGAGTTATTAATACATTTATTTTAAGGAATAAAATTATGCACAAAGTTTTCTATAGGCAAAGTGACTCAATAGCTGAGTTAAAATATTTGTTTATTTTTCTTTAGTAATGGAAGTGCAATTTTTTAAAAACATATTTGGAGAAAAACAAGTTTTTTTTTCCATAAAAGCGATAAAAAAACTATTTGATATCATTTTTTTAGACATTTCAGAATGCGTAACTAAAAAAGAATAATTTATTTCAACTGAGAAATAAGCATTCTTATCTTAATTAAAACAGCGAACAATTAAGTAATAATAAATTAAAGAAATGATTCACCGAATAATATTTGAAAAGCAAATATTCCTTAAAAAATATTTTTTAATTAGTAATTTCGAAATGATTACGCATGTGTAACAAGAAGTTTAAATTAAAAATTGTAATTGTGTAGGATAAAAATTCTGATTACATATTAAAAATGTTTATAATTTTATTATAGTATAAATAATATAAATCTTTAAATCATAATTTCATTATGTGTAAAAACATAGTATGAAAGAAAGAAGGCCAGGTATTTAAAATAAATAACAAACAAGTAAGAGGAAGAAAAATGTGCATTGATATAGTGTAGGGAGCACGATATAATCAAACAAAAGTAGTAAGAAAAGAGAAAAAATTGTGAGAAAAGTGAGTATGGTGAAAACCTCAGATATTGTAAGATATTAAAACTAAAAGAAAATATATTTCTTAATACTTGAAATTAACCCCATCCACATTTTCTTATTTCCTACTTTTATTTGGTAATCTCGTTCAATCATGTTTCCTTACCCTGTTAGCCAATTCTTTTTTTTTTCCCTTGTAATAATAATTCGCTAAAGAGGGTTATTTCATATGATAAAAATGCCTTCGAAAGAGGTATATAACAAATATAGTTTCCATTGCACAATACATTTTTCTTCATATTATTTTAACATATATGTTACCGGCAAAGTATGAAACGCCGGCATTGTATAGAATGACTAGGCATTGTATAGAATGCCTGACATTTTTAGTCAAAGTATGAAATGTGAGAAGTATTACATACTTTGCCTAGGCATTTTATAAAATGCCTATGCATTCTATACAATGCCGGATGCTATTTAGGCAAAGTATGAAATAAACGTCCTGATGAGGTTATTATGTAAATGATGTGCACGTTACTGTGAATGAGCAAAATCGGTGGTTGTTGACTTTCACCGGTGAATGTTGACAATCACATAGTCGCTTTGGTGAATGTCCGAAATATTCATTACATCCGATTTGATATTAATTTATTCTTGGATATAATTACATTTATTCGATATTTTAATACTTACTGACGATAGATTAGAAAAACATCAGTGTTTGGAGTATCGGACAAGTGTATACCGGACAGTGACCCTTAACCTTAAAAAACATCAGTGTAGGGTGCACCGGACAATGGCACTTGACCTTTAAAAAAAACATCAGTGTAAGGTATACCGGGCAATGGCGCTTAACTAGACCTAGCATATATTTCGGACATTTACCAAAGGTCCGGTCTTACTAGTTCTAGTTAAGTGCCATTGCCCGATATACATTTGCCCGGTATATCTTACACTGATGTTTTTTTAAGGTTAAGTGCCACTGCCCGGTATACATTTGCCCGGTATTCCCTACACTGATGTTTTTTTTAAGGTCAAGTGCCACTGCCCGGTATACATTTGCCCGGTATACCTTACATTGATGTTTCTTCTAATCTATCGTCAGTAAGTATTAAAATATCGAATAAATGTAAAACTATCGATTTCGGTCATTCACAGTAACATGCATTTCTCAAAAATAAAAATTTTATTCTGAAAAAGTACTGAGAGTGCCATTGAAAAACATTTATTCAAAATGTGGAAAGAAAATCAAAAAGTTATGCAAAACAAAATTTAAACGTTTGTTATTAAGGGAAACAAAATTTTCCTATAAAAAATAATAAATTAACCTACTTGTTGCAACCTGGCAGGCTTGAATGACATTTTGAATTACATTTCATTAAGTTTTTCCATGTAAATTTCGTTTAATTCCTCCATTTCCATGTAGCACAGTAAAAAAATAATTTTTGTTATTAGTCAAAAAGTCACGAGCCACGCGTTAAAAGTCACGAGCCTTGCCAAGTGATATTTGAAACGAATCGGAGATGTATTTTATACTTTGCCGGTTTCTCTTTTGGCAATCTATAGAATGTCTAGGAAATGTGTGAAATATAAACCATTTCATACTTTGCCGGCTAATTTTAGGCATTCTATGCAATGCCTAGTCATTCTATACAATGGCGGATTTCATACTTTGCCGGTAACATATATATTATTATAACACCAATTTATCACCATACTACACATATATTATTTTAACACCAATTTATCGGACATTTTTATGATATACAAGTCGTGAAGTGTTAAAAGAAAAGGGGCACAAATTGACCGAGCATAATTTATTTAAGGATTTTTTCAAAACATGAAAATTAATGAATAGTCATAAATTTCCTAACTTAACATGCTCTTTTGTATGCCTGATATGAGGTTGTCATTTCAATATAGTATAGTCAGAATAATCCAAAAAAACGCGGGACATACAAAATAACCAACAGGGATTCGTTAAGGATTACTTTGCAGAGGTCCTCGCATAAAAATTCCCAGAAATCCTATTGCTGGTTTAGTTTGAAAGGTAAAAGAATAAAAAGAGGAGATAAAATACTAATATTTAAACAAATAATGTATTCTTTCCGATATTATTTCTTTATGCTAAATCGAGTAAGACTTAAGATGAGACTAATATTTTAGAACATATGATTTTTGATGCAAAAAATAAAATTTTTAATTTTTACCTATCTATATACACACCTGAATAGCTGCCTCGACAAGCAATGATTTTTTTCCTTGTATTCGTATGACAAATACTATTTTTTGTGTAATAATGCACTTGTATTAAAATTTTGCAGATGCTTGCCAAAAAAATGTTTGGAGCATGAACTTGGATTTAGACACATGCACAGATACTATTCGCATGCACTGTGTAGGCCTGTTTCCAAAACCCTCAGCAGAATGTGGAGTTTATAACGAAGATACTCAACTAACAAATGTTCCATTTGATCGAATAGTTACACTTCGGAATTCTACTTATGAGATTACATTGGCCAATGAGTATCACATAAAAGACTGGACAAGTTATACAAATATTTCATTGAAATGCTATTTTGTTATTGACAGAACTACTTGGAAGAGAGGCATAACTTATAAATTATTTGGGGGTAAGTATTCATAAATTAAGGTTAAAAAAAGAATTTTCTAGGAGGAGATTAAATCTTATGCTTACTTAAGCCTTTTAAATAGAAAAATCAATGTTCTAACAAGATAAAGAAAAAAAATAAACATTCTTCGATTTGGTGTGTCACTGCTTATTTGTTAAAAACTCATTCAACAAACTGTAAGTTTTATTCAAAAAAAATTCTAAGATCAGTAAGTCTATAAGTAATAGTTTCTTTGGTTTAGTTTCTACACATATATGCTTATTGACACAAAAAGAAAACCTACTCAAATATCAAGAAAAGTTACCAAATTAAATTACATCAATAAAATATTTATATCGTAGTTAATAATTTTTCGAAACAATATTTTCATGTCTTTTAATGTGACTTGCACAATAAGCTCTTCAATTGAAGATAATTTATTCCAGTCTTTCGTTAAAACATTTTTTTTTTTGCTGAACTCATTTTTCTTTAGAGAAAAATGTTTTCATTATTTGCTGTCTTAGCTTGCACGAAGCACAATTAGCTGTTTTATCAAAATACAGGTTTTTTCTTTTTTTTTTTTTACCTTTTAATATGACTTGCACAATAAGCTTTTCAACCGAGTTCTTTTAATTATTTTACAACCAACAGATTCATTTGTCTAAAAAAACTTATTTTACTGTACAATTTTTTCTTCTAGTAAAAAATGCTTTTATTATTTTTTTGTCTCAGCTTGAACGAAACAAGCTGTTTTAGCTTAATGCAGATTTTTTACCTTTCAACGTGGCGTGTACAATAAACTTTTCAATATTTTTTGCTTACATTTTTTACTCGTATGATCAACGTATTCGTTTATCCTAAAAATATTTTTTTCTGAACTATTTTTGCCTTCAATAAAAAGAAATATTTTTATTACTCGTGGTCTAAGCTTGAACAAAACGCTATCAACGATATTAGTGAATTACATTTGTTTTTTTTTTTTTACCTTTTAGTGCACAATAAGCCATTCAAATAAAAATAATCATTCTTTTTTCGTTTTTTATAATTTTGTGGTAAACATATTAGTGTTTTAAAATTTATTTACTAGACCAACTTTTCTTTAGGGAAAAGCATTTATTGCTAGTAGAATCCTTTAAACCAATATTTTAAATTTCTATCTTTATTATTATTTTTTTCTTTTTAAGAGTACGTATATAGAGAGTCCAGAAATTAATTTATTTGGACATTTTGTGTGATAAGAAATTTGAAAGTAAACAGGAAAGAAAAGACGAAGAAATTATGTTATGCCGAAAAATAGTAATTATAAGTTTAATTTTATAAATTTCTTGGTCAAATTTGGACAAATGTGAACCATAATATTTTTGAAAAATGTTTACTAATTTTCAGTCAAGCTTAAATTTTTTTTATAACGATGTATTTTGTGAGACTTAATTATTTCTCTTTTTTGGAAAAAAAATAATTTTTTTTTTTCTTTTTTTTTTTTGCATAAGTATGACTTTATCTTGGTCTTTATTTTTAAACATGATGTGACATTTGCTTCTAATTAAGTTTTCAATGCACTTAAAAGTGTTGTTCTTTGTTAGAGGCATATATTTTCAAGTACGAACATCTTATTGATTAAACCAATTATTCTTTGATGTATTACATTTCTTCTTAGTTTACGATATTTTGAAAATCTTAGTGGTCACTTTAAGAAGTAACTGGTCATTAAATGAGGTGGTTTGTAGTGAAAAAATATTAAAGGGAACACGCAGCAGAATCTGTGTATACCAATAATGTTAAAAAAAATTATTTTTAGGAAACTATTTTTAAAAACTGATGATTCACGCAAGCTTCAAATTTCTTCTCGTAAATGTTTATTTTCATTAATTTAACGATAGCATTTTTTAAAAAAAAATTTTGTAAGAATATTTTTAGAAACTTTTTTTTGTGGTATCACACGTGGAAATTCGAAAAGACGCTAAAAATGCTTTCCAATTTCAAAAATTATTACGAATAAATGTGAGCAATCATTCTTTTAAATTGTTGTAAAAATATAAATATGTTCGAATTTTTAAAAAGTCGTATTTTTAAAATTTGATTTCTCAAGAACTATTCAACCGATTTCGCTCAAATTCCCCATGTAAAATTGCATTTTTCAAAATTATGTAAAAAAAAATTGCATACCTTACAATAAAAGAAATTTTCGACTTTCATTAAATAAAGCAATAAAAAATATTTACTAAAAGTTTATTTTGATTATCTTTAGTCAAACTCATTGTATGCAAAATATTTAAATTCTCTTAAAAAGTGTTGAGATAAAATTAAGATTCATTTTGGACCACTCTCCTGACCAAACTATTGGGAACAAATTTTCCAGATTACGACTACACACTATATTTTTGGGTTCAGCAATCCGTCGACAAAAAGGTTCAGAGAAAATACGTTTTTGAGTCTGAAAATATCATATTTGAGGTCACCTCTTCAGACCATAAAATTTAGAACAGAATTTTGGAACATGAAGATCTGATTAGATCAAAAGTTGTTCAGAGTGGCCAGTTTTTTTATTTATTTATTTTTTAAGTGGTTTACGCAAAGTTTTAGGTTTACTAGATCCAGTTATAAAGAAAATATTCCTTTCAGTTCAATATATGCAGTTTTGAGAATAAGTCACTAGAAAGAACAGGAAGCAATGTTAACAACGAGTGATGCAAAGTTAACAACGAGTGATACAAATAACTTTTGAAAAGATATAGAAATGCTTACTTTCTTTTAAATTTCAAATTAGTAATAAAGTAGAAAAAGAATTTGTGACGAAAATTTTCTTCCGTGGTAAGACGTTCTCTTAAACCCAAGAGTCCAAGATAAAGAAAATTGTGATGAGCACGGAAAGCTTTTGCTCTTCATGGGCTGTCACAATCACTGAGTTTAGTTATCTATCAAATAACAGCTATGAAAAACTTGGTAATAAACATTAACCATACATTTTTACTGGATTTTCTATTTAAAATTAAAGTTTATCGTTAATAATATTAATGTTATTCCCGAGGTAGCTATGTCTAGAATATGTAAAACATAATAGCAGTTGAGATAACAGATATGAAAACTTTTATTGTGTCAGTAAAAAAAACCCGACGTATCAGCTAAAATTAATTTTAAAAAAGTTAAAAAATCAGTAAAATTACTTCATTAGTATAAAAGTAGCATAAGTGCTCAGTTATTTTAAAAAATTACATATTTGAATGTATCAATTTTCTTTTTTTTTATATTCCTAATAACACTAAATTCCAGAAATAATCTATACATAAGCAATAATTTTTATAACTCTTAGTTTATTCAAATAGCTGTACATAAAGCTATGTTATGTTGACTAACCTAAGCCAAACTTTAGTAGCATAAAAAATTACCCATTTTCTCAAATCTTTTGGAAAGAGTCTAATTACATGTCATTTAGCGTAAGCCAATTTGAATGCTTGCCCAAAAAGTATGTTTAAGTCATCATTATGCCATCAATAATGAATGATATGCTCTTTTTAAGTCCATATTTAGATTCATTTTTTTAAAGCAGCGATAATCATTCAATGGCAACATAATTTAGATTTAGTTTACATGAAAAGGATTACTGTGATGATACTTTCAATAGAATGCTTTTCTTACCAACTTCAGACTACAAAAATAAAGAATATCATTGAAAAATTTAAGAAATCAATTTTATAAACCAAATATTTCCTACGGACTAAAATTAGGCCAAGGTTTAATTCATTCCTCGACATTTTTTTCCGTATCAACTTCAGACTATGAAAATAAAGAATGTCAGGTAAAAAATTCAGAAATCAATATTATAAACGAAATATTTCCTAATTAAAAAATATTATATACTAACAAAACATTTTAGTAATAAAAGTAGCTAGTCTAATTTCATATTGAAAAGCATTATAAAAGCGTTTTCCTCCAAAGAAAAGAAAAAATAAGAAATTATTTAGGTTAAAAAAAAAAACATTGGTATTAATTTCATTTGTGAATGCATTGCTATTTAAGCCAGTATTGAAAAAAAAGCTATTATTTTTCTAGTATATTAAAAAATTAATCTAATTCGAAACAAGTCATTTTAGAAGAAATTTGAATTCGCTGACTGGAAACTTTGTAAATTTTTTATCGTCAAAAGGAAGGACATTCACAATAGCTTTTAAGGCGATCCCTTCATAAAATCTTTTTTTTAAAAACAGAATTACTATTTTTAATTTATAACTTTTAAGCTTCAAATTTCTTAAATAACGTAATTTTTGTGAATAAATTTAGCATTATTTCTCTAAAATAGATCTTTTTTTACGAAAATTTTGAACTATTCCTTGGTAAATAAATTTTCTAAATAAAAAGGTTTGAATGAGAAATAAATAACGAATTGCTTCTAATTGAATTTCATTTTTCTTAAATATACAATAACTATTCTTGAGAGCAATATTATTATTTTTATTTTGTAATGTCCACAAGGTAATGAAGAAAAAAATATAGCATCAACCGGAAAAAAAGTGCAGATCCGAGAGTTGCTATTTATATTTCTGGCCTAATAATGAAAAAACAAATATGTAGGATCGAAATTGGTTTTATTGTTTTTCAAAATATTCTCCATGATGATCAATACACTTTTGCATGCGTTTGAACCAATTTTCAAAGCACTTTTTCCTGTCCGATTGAGGTAACTTCAAAACATGCTTTTTGAATGCATCAACCGCTTCTTCGGGGGTCGAAAATCGTTGTCCACGTAATTTATTTTTGATGTGTGGGAATAAGAAGAAGTCATTGGGTGCCAAATCAGGGCTGTACGGCGGATGACCCATCAGTTCGATCTTTCGCTCCGTCAGAATTGCCTCTGTTTGAGTCGATGTGTGAGAACTCGCATTGTCATGATGAAGAATGATTCGCCTGTTCTTCTGCTTTTTTCGAATTTCTCCGATGACTTCTGGCAAACAAATGGTCGTGTACCATTCAGAATTGACCGTCCTGCGTTGCTCTAACGCCACTGTTGCCACATGACCGTTAAT